TCAGCAGATAGATCTAGTCCGAGATATTTAGCATTTGTAACAGACTCTAGGACTTGGCCATGGAGCATATATTTGTGTTTAATTATGGTTTTATTTTTGGTGATATGGATGACTTGGCATTTTGAAGGGTTTAAATCCATGTCCCACTGCTTCTCCCACATTATTATCTCATAATTATTAATGAGATAATTTCAATGACTTCGATACTCTGTCGAATTTTGAGATTTTAGAACAAAATGAACATTCCGATCATAATCCGCTTTTGTTTAGCCTGTATAGGAAATCATATGATTGTAGGCAGACGCCCACTGCGCAAGAATACGATGATAGTTACACGAAAATAGTCTGGGACGACAGTAAACTGAACGAGTTTCGCGCACGACTCATTAATATTCATGACGACTTAAATCGGTTAGCCAATCAGGCGTCGAGCGAGTCAGTCCAGCGTGTAGTTGACGAGTTTACCGATATAATGTATAGAACTACTTTCGATATCTTTGGAAGGGTCGTTGTAAACAAAACGCCAAACCATAATTATAAAGAAAATAAAAAATGGTTTGATCAAAGTTGTTATAATTCAAAAAGGAAATTTAAAACAGCGCGAAATTTATTCAATAGAAGTAGAGATAATGAATCTCGGTGCAATTTCGTGCGTTGTAGGACACGATATAATAAAATTAAGAGAAGGGCTAAATATAATTTCAGGGTAAGGGAAGGTAAAAAAATTAACGATTTAGCAAAAAAGGAACCTAGAAAATTTTGGAAAAAGATAAAAAAAAGAGTGTAAAGAAAACATCTCCACAGGCTGACACATTAACTACAGACAGTAGTTTACAGTACTTCAGTTGTCACCCGTAATGTAACCGGGAGCAATTATTGAACAATTATAAAGCAACGGTTTCCAAATTAAAAAAATAAAATAATAATAATAAATAAATAAACAATGTTAAGAAATAACTTACCCAGTGAGTCAATCGATTGAATCTTTTTTTTTGTTACTTTTTCAACTCATGTGTTAATCCATTCATTTCTTTATTCCCTGCGGTCTGGAGACCGCCGGGTATTGGTACGCGTTTAACTTTTGAGGCATGGAGGAGCACGTGACCTGTTTTCGGTGCATGGAGGAGCATGTGATCTGTAAACCGAACATGATTGGTTAATTGACCTTTTCGAAAACCTAGCTAAATACCGTTAGCCGGTACGTTACGGATTTACCTGTAGGCAATTATTCCGAATTACAACTTTTTAAGAACGTGATATTTCTAATTTTCTATCATTATTTAACCGTTTAAGGCGGAAAACCCTGAATGATGTGTTTGAAAATTATCAATGTTTCTTTAATCTATTTTAAATTTTACAAACAATAAATTGTTTATACTGAAAATTTACAAAATTAAAATATTCGTAGGGGCTTCTACCATAACTAATAGAGATATTTTCTGCGTAAACTTGTGTGTTTACTTTATTCTTTGTTTGTTCGGAATTATTCATAAAATGGAAGGCCTATTTAATCATTTTCTTACAAAGAAATAATTGTTTTAAATGTTCGACCATCTCCGGTCTTCAACGGTCACCAGTTTCCAAAGACCTTCTTCTATATTGATATTCAATTGTCATCTATATTCCTGATACAAACGTTTATTTATCCCCTTATAACTCCCCCCCCCCAAAAAAAAAAAATAATGTTGAAAATAGTTAAATGAAATATCTTTATATCATTAAAATGTTCACCGCAGGAACGCATTTTACTTGTTTATAAACTGTATTCCATATTTACATAAACACACGTGTACACATCAACAAGTCGCACGAGATCTCCAATTACTGAACTGTAAACACACACACACCTACTGACTTTTGCAGTGCCACACTTGTGAATGTGTACTACGTAAATTGCTGCATAAACGCTAAAGTTATTGTACAATTTAAGATTTGATGACCATCAAATATAAGTATATAATTTTAAACTGTCCCCTTTGTTGATGAAATAACAATAATAATTTAATTTTAGTAAATACCCTTTCCACAATTTATATTCATACCATAATCTGCATGCAAACTGCAATGTGTATATATATTCTATTTTTGTCTAAGTGATTAAATCATGTTGTTCTCATGTATATGTACTGTAGAACCTGATTGTAAATAAAAGTATATGTCTGTCTGTCTGTCTGTCTGTCTGTCTGTCAGTATACTTTAACTGACATGTATATCAACAAAAAATTAGAAAATCTTTCAATTCCATTTTTGGGATGACACCAACCTTTTTTTCTTTTTTTCATGCATTGTAACATGATTATGCAATATGATTATTTTTATAGGTTTATTAATATAAAACGCAAAAATATTTCAGTTTACTTTTTTCTGTTTGTACTACTTGTATTGAAATTTATTTGCACCAAATCCAGAGAATACAGAATTTACATTGCCTACTTATATTAATCATCTGCCTTTTGTTATTTACCCTGAGGGACTCTCTTACCAGCAGGCACGGATTTATATTACATGTAATGTAAATCCGTGCAGCAGGGTACTATATTAAAACACCAATACACAGCATGACTTTTGACACTTAAATTTTCTGTAACTGTTTTCTGCTCATGTATGATATCTTATTTAAAAAAAAAAAAATCTGCATTAAAGTGAAAAGGAAGTTGCAAAAGTTTTATAAACATGTATTTAAATATTTGCTTTAAAATATATTATCTTCTGAATGCGTTAAAACTGACAAGGCACATTTGTCAAATCTATAAAAGAAAAAAATTACATTTCCAAGTTCAGAAACTAAAAGATGCTGCAAATTCCTGGGGGAGGCTTTTGTCCGTATCCCAATTTTAATGCAGAATTGCAAGAAATGTGGATAAATATTGATATGGGGTCTTTCTAGAATAGTTAACACTGATATTGTTTTAAACCAGTTTTTAAGATAAGATTAGAAAATTCCACTTCAAAGACAATAATGACAATAATATCTAACATGCGTTTATGCCATTATGATTATTTTTTACATTTAATTATACAAAAATTATAGTCATTTATCTATGTCTAACATGTATTTGGGAAGAAAAAATCACGAGATTTTAAATAATATTGCATACATCTGCATTTTTGTTATTTACCCTGAGGCCAGACTAGTATAATGAAAACAGTCGCTCTCAGAAAAATACCAATACACAGCATAACTTTCCTCTGGTATAAAAACATTCCCTTTATACATTAAATTTTAATATAGAAATCTTGAATAAAGTTATCAATTTTATTTATTTCATGGAAAAATTTAAATATTTTATATCTGTAAAAGTATGCAAGCATTTCATGGTTGAAAAACATAACACCACAGTGTATGGATTGTTTTAAAATCAATGAATTAATATTCTATTTCAATCTTGAACATGAGGAATTGTCTCTTAACCCATTACGTTATATACACGCCTTTTAACGCCTTTTTCACCCCCCCCCCTTTTTGTTGTCTCAAATGGTGAAAAAATGCCTTATTTAGGCTCCCAACACCTGTTTTTGTTTGAGAAATGCTGTTTAAAAAAGTGAACTCTTTTTCGGCGCGGCCTTCAAACCAAAAGACCAAAGGGGGTTGCCAGAAGGGGGATGTGGCCCCTTCTGTTTGGGGGGTTTGAAGGGGGTCGGAGTCCCCCTCATCGCCAAGAAACTTTTGGACTTGTGAGAGGCTACAAATGACACCAGATTGATCATAAGGTAACGTTTAATCAACGCTGAAAAGCATTTGACTCTATCTCAATCCATTGAGAAGTTGCAGCCCTTTGAAATCAATTTTGGTGGAAAAAATCAACGCAAAATAGTGATTTTGGCAATTTTGAGATGTCCCCTCGTTGCCATGGTAACAGAAAATTTAAGCCTGAGCATGTTGTTGCAAGGGCAATGGTCCAGTCAACATTTGTGCCAAATTTGATTAGTGTTGAAGCAGTTTTTATAGTATTATAGCAATTTGAACTTGTAACGGGAGACTTTTCAATGAAAACAGCCATTTTTCACAAAATGCTCATGAAGTAATGGGTTAACGAAAAAAAATCAAAAAAATTACAAAACAACAATTTTTCTTCAAATTTATATGACAGGCCATGTTCAAACATGAAAAAACGCGATTTAGGGTAATTTCAAGTATTTTCATCATTTTCTGTTAACCCATTACGTCATATACACGCCTTTTAACGCCTTTTTCACCCCCCCCCGCCTTTTGTTGTCTCAAATGATGAAAAAATGCCTTATTTAGGCCCCAAACACTTGTTTTTGTTTGAGAAATGTTGTTAAAAAAGTGACCTCTTTTTCGGCGCGGCCCCCCAACCAAAAGATACATCAGGGGGTTGCCAAGAAAATTTTGGACTTGTGAGAGGCTACAAATGACCCCAGATTGATCATAAGCAAGTACGTATATTAATATACGTACCTGATCATAAGGTAACGTTTAACCAACGCTGAAAAGCATTTGACTCTATCTCAATCCATTGAGAAGTTGCAGCCCTTTGAAATCAATTTTGATGGAAAAGATCAACGCAAAATAGTGATTTTTGGCAATTTTGAGATGTCCCTTCGTTGCCATGGTTTGGGTTAAGTTATATATTATTATGCAGAATAGCAAGAAATGTGGATAAATGGATAAACATAGAAAATTCTGCTTTAGAGACAATAATATCTTATATGCATTTATGCCATTATTATTTTTTTTCTGTATATTTTTTTTTTATTTTACAAAAATTATGGTCATTTATCTATATAACTAACTAGCCTGAGCGCTAACGCCTGGTGAATCCCAGGCTTATGTCTAACATGCATTTTGAGAAAACCAGGGAATTTCAATGCATACTTATAATCTACAAAATTAACTGTTCTTTGTTATTTACCCCGAGGCCCTCTTATCAGTTGGAGAGTGGTATAATGAAAACAGTCCCTCTCAGAAAATACCAATACACAGCATGACTTGAGATTTTCTTCTTCAATAAAAAGTATTCCCTTTATACATTAGATTTTTGTATTCGCTGCGTTAGCAGTGAATACAGTTCTATCACAATTTGCGGGATTGCAATAGAAGAATGGGTACCGAACAACGCAAAGTAGTTCTACACAGATTTTCTTGTCACACACAAGTGATAAGATTTTGAATTGTCAGTAGTTCATTTTTGATTGTGTTATTTCTATCGTATATTATTTGCATGTTTTCAGGATATAATCAGTAAAAAATATCATTAGTATTCATTCGCGTTAACTTTGCGTAAGGAAGTAGTTCGTACCAAAACAAAGTTTTCGACGTGAAAGCTGATCTCATCATTTTCTAAAAGTAGGTACAGAAAACTTACCAATATTATTTGAACTTAATTTTATTCTGTTTTGGAATTCTTATTTGGATTTCATGATGCGTAACAGTGTTGATAATTCAGGTGTCTTGATATATTTTTTTTTGTTGTTTGAGTTGTTTCCCTTGTTTTCCCGCAATATCACTAGTTTTGTCTATGTTTAAGCGGCTTTGTTTGTAAAAAGTTCAAAGTGTTCTTAATTTATTGGAAATATGGATTATTGATAGTTGGTCAGTATTATTTTGAGTTGCATTTGGTTTAAATTAGTGTTTTATAGAGTGTATGTCATAGATGATTTTTTAATTAAGTAACGAGTGTGGTCTGATTCGAAATGTCATCAGTTTTCGTGATTTGGAACCTTTGAGAATTGTTTTCAGAAAAATCCGTTAATCTAGCTCTCTGTTTACTTAATCTCACAATTTATTCATATCACTTTGCACATTGTGTTTATTATATTTTGCAGAAGTTACAGCAGAGAGAGAGAGAGAGAGTTTGACAGTATGCGTGTTTGAAGAAGATAATGCTTTTATTGGTACATTCAATTCCACAAACTGGTGAGTTTAGAATTTATTTATGATTATGATGTATTTTATAATAACTTCATTAAATGAACTTATGATTGTGGCGGCCAATAGAAAGCATATAGCTATATTATAAGTTAATATACCTACAGGTTAAGTAAGCTGTTCAATGTGTTGTAAATATTTAATACACCGATAAACACTTTCAGAACTAGCAGACGAGACGCTAGTCCTATGAATATGACGTCGCTTTGAGTTATTTTTGCTTCTGGGCAAAGCAACGTCATATCGAAATTGCTCAAAAACCCATAGCATGTTCCGCCAGAAAATCGGGCGGAACGTAAAACAATGAAGACAGCGTGTATTTACATATTTTTTTACCTATTTATGAACAAAACTAAAAAATAAATACCTTTTGTCAAAATAATTAAACTGTCACATCCGAAAAATCACGATTAAATCCTCTCATGTATTTCAATTCCCTTTACAGCCGATAAACAAATGGCGGCCGTAAAGTGCGCGAAATCTGATTGGCTAATTCAAATGCAAGCGTTTAACTGAGTCAGAACAATCTAACGGAATATTTTTTTAACGAAATAATTGCCCATGCACCGTCAGTGTGTTCGAATATATTTTTCCGTTCAAAAATTTGGAATCAATCTGTAAAGCACATTGCTTAACCAGTATGGCTGATAGACAAAAATAGATTGATGTTTATATTTTATTTTAAATTGATAAGTACATCGTTTGACAGTTTTTGTGTATGATTAAGCATGAAATTGAAAGAAAATATGATAATCTTTTGAATAAAGCTTGCAAGGCAGGACAATAGACATTTTTGGAATTTTTTATGATGCTATGCGTTTTTGAGCAATAACTATTAGACGTCAGGCTTGACCGACAAAAACTATAACAAGCCTGTAACGTCTAATATATTGGACTAACGAGAGGCTTTTCTTATCAGTAGTTTAAGGAATAAAGATAACCGGTTGTTTTCTCACTATATAAATTGTATGTAAAATGGTCTGACATGTGGTAGGGTTAACTGTTCATTTGAATACTTTGTGGAGTCAAAAGATGTGTTGAAGAATATACTGTGATGAAGGTAAGATCCAACGTTTGCTATTGGTGTAATTCATTTTAAAAGCGGACATTTAATCAGAACAAACTAGCGGTTTTGTTTAAGCATAAGAGATATCAATTTTACTCGAAGATAAGGGAAGCAACTTGTATTTTTTTCACTTGATATACCTCGGTTATTTACGTAGATCATATAGAAAGTGTGAATGGGTTTATTGTAATTGACCATAAATTTGGAGGTTTTTATTTAAATGATAATTATGCATTTCAGACAAAGGAAATTGATTTAACTCTATTTTTATGTTGATGTAATTTGTTTAATTTCAGAGTGTTGATTTCCTCGATTTCATTGACTCGATGATTCATTCTTTGATTTCTAATGATCAATCAACTTATTGATTTACTGATTGATTGGACATGTCATGGAGCTTAATATAGATGGAGAAGTAACTTAGACGTCATACAGTTAAATTCAGTATTATTGGGGTTGTTCTAGTGCAAGTTATCATGTGTTTCGGGATTTTCCAAGATTTGATGCATCCTGGGTAATAGTAGCCAAAATACCGCCATATTCAATTCCAAGAGGAACATTGACAAAAAAAGACGAAGCATTTTCTACTTACATAAGAAGCAATAGTTATTTATGTTAAAACGTACCCTACACACTTTTCCACACAGATATTTTTTTTACTTGAAAAATATTATTTTTTACTATGACTTTTTTAGTTTCAAAGGCACCTACCTCTTACTTCAAATACATATTCCTTATCATCAATTACATCTTATGTGACTAGGTTCATAATTTACTCTTAAAGCAATATTTCCAGGTTAATATCCCTTTGAACTTTTTTTTAAAGAAACATTATAAGTAATTTAATTTACTTTTTAGCTCACCTGAGCAATGCTCAGGGTGAGCTATTGTGATGGCCCTGTGTCCGTCGTCGTGCGTCGTCAACTTTTAACATAAACAACATCTCCTCTGAAACCAATGACTGCACATCGACCAAACTTTACAGAAATGATCCTTGGGTGGGCCCCTTTCAAAGTTGTTCAAATGGTTCCGGTTTGTTGCATATGTAGGTCATAGGGCCAGAAAAGGATTTCAAAAAACATCAAATTAAAAAATCTTCTTGTCTGAAAGTACCTGGGCCAGAGCTTTGATTTTTGGTATATGGAATCATTATGGGTCCTCTACCAAAGTTGTTCAAATTTTGTCCCTAGTGTCAAAATTGGCCCTGCCCTGGGGGTCATAGGTTTTTCCTTATATATATATATAGTAAAATCTAAAAAAATCTTCTTCTCTGATTTGGCAAAGGCTACAGATTAGATATTTGGCATGAAACATTGTGTAGTAGACCTCTATCAAGATTGTTCAAATAATGGCCGGGGGGTCATTGATTCTCATTACATACATATAGTGAAAACTTGAAAAATCTTCTGGTCTGAAAGTAAATGGCCTAGAGCTTTGATATATGGTCTATGGTATCACCTATAGGTCCAAAACCAAACTTGTTCTAATTTTGTTCCTAGAATTAAAATCGGCCCGCCCTGGGGGTCATTGATTTTCCCTATATGTATATAGTGAAAACTTAAAAAATCTTCTTTTAAAGAACCCAAAGAGCTAGAGCTAAGATATTTAGCATGAAACATCTTCTAATGGTTGTCTACCAAGTTTGGTCAAATAAAAGCCCTGTGGTCAAAATTGGCCCCGTCCCAGGGGGTCATTGATTTTCCCTATATGCATATATTAGTAAAAACTTAAAAGATCTTTTTTGATGAAAAAATCAAATAGCTAGAGTTTAGATACTAAGCATGAAACATCTTCTAGTGAGTGTATTCCAAGTTTGTTCAAATAAAAGCCCTGGGGTCAAAATTGCCCCGCCCCGGGGGTCATTCATTTTCCTTATATGTGTATAGCAAATACTTAAAAATTTTCTTCGAAAAAACCTGAATAGCTAGAGTTCTGATATTAAGCATGAAACATTGTCTAGTAAGTGTCTACAAAGATTGTTCAAATAAAAGCCGTGGGATCAAAACTGGTCCTGCCCCAGGTGTGTCATTGTTTTTAACTATATGTGTAAAGAAAAAAACTTGAAAAAATCTTCTTTTAAAAAACCCAACTAGCTAGACCTTAGATGTTTAGCATGAAACATCTTCTAATGGGTGTCAACCAAGATTGTTCAAATAAAAGCCCTGGGGTTTAAACTGGCCCCGCTCCGGGGGCCTATATACAGGTGAGCGACTTTGGGCCATCATGGCCCTCTTGTTTATATTTCTTATCATTACACATATGTTGTGTGACAAGCATGACTATTTCCAGAATTACCCCCCCCCCCCCCTTGAACTTATTCATGGAATTTATGTAAACAAACGTTCTTAGTTTCATAGTTTTGTCTTCCATACCAACTTATCTCAGTCTCTTGATATTTGGTATACAGTATTGACGTGGTCCCATACCGTCGGATTTGATTTCAGGTCTGTCGCTCACCAAGCCCCATTTACCGTTAAATTTTCAACATTAATGGTCAATGGTAGGAAATTTTGGTGACAGATTTTTTAGCAACTACTTATCACAGGCTCTTGATATTTGACAAACAGCATTGACACATGGTCTTATACTGTGGGATTCGATTTCAAGTCTTTCATTCATCCACTTCCTGTTAACTGTCTTATTTTAATTTTCCACATTAATGGTCAGTGGTAAATATTTTTCAAAACATTACAGCATCATGATATTTGGTATAAAAATGCAACCCGACTTTTTCTGTCTTTGACCCATTTTTTTTTTTTTTTTTTTTTAATTTTGAAATCATTCATTTATTATTGTTGAAATCTACTTATAATACCTTTAAAATACCATGTTTCCAGTACTTTTTATGTACATGCTTAAGTTGTTCTTAACATACACAAAACAAACTTGTACATTCCTTTATTAGAAATTGTCTTTTTTTGATATAACCAGGCACAAGTGACAAGATAATATTTATGTATATGCTATTATCATTGTGGACACAAACTGTAAACAAAGGTATCATTTTTGATTCTAGTCAAAGTAAAAACAAACAGTGATTGCACTAGAGTTATATAAGAAAGTTTGTGGGAGCTTCACATGCTCATAACATTTCTATCTTTGTCAGAGAAATATTTGATTTCTGAGAACTATTTTGACTTCAATTTCCGAAGAAACATGACACTACACCCCAAATTTAAATGCATAATAACTATTACATTTGTTTGACTTAACTGTTTCTTATGGTCAATAGTGTTACATGTATATAATTTTTTATGTTCATTTTACATTGCTTGTTTTTCTATCATTTCAATCCATAATGTCTTAATCATTATATAATTTGATAATACCTTAATTATGTAGCATTGTAGCATTGTTTTATGATTTACATTGTATTTGCAATTTTGTGAACATTTATCAGTAAATAATATTCTTAATAAAAGAAATTTCACAATTGATATGAAGTACCAAGCCATTTATAGAGTGTGTTTCCGATTTATGAAAATGTTTTTAACAAATGACTTAAAATTGAGCAATCACCATACTTTCTAGCATAAGAATCTTAAAATAAAATTACTTAAATTGCAAGCAAGTTGCAATTTTATACATGAGATAAACTTATCGTGACCAAATTTGTTTTTCATGTTAGCAAGTTCTGTATATACAGTCGACATTGTATTAAGAGACCACTCAAGGGACTGCCAAAAGTGGTCTCTTAATAAAATGGTCTCTCAATAGAATTCTGGAAAATTCGAGACTTTATTATATCACAAGTCATAGATATAATAACCTATTTTTATAAAAACAAAAACTGTACAATATTATATATGTATTACAGTTTCAAAATGACATTTAATTATGCCTTTTGTTTAAAAAAGTCATCAATATGTGTTTGTTTTTTAGTAGAAATTTGTGTACAAATGTGATCTACGCTTATAATACTATTAACAGGTCATTTTGACCTTGAAACAAAGCATATTGTCATAAATTATTAATATGTTCATACACATCTCCTGCTGAACATACTTTCAAATCATCAGCCAGACCTCTAGATAATTTTTCATGCAATGAGTTTTCTTGATTTTTTCAGTAATTAGTTTTCACACTACCCCGATTTCAAAACATTAAAGTTTTAGAGATCTTAGATTATCATTATTTTATTTTTTTTATTTTTTTATTTTTTTTTGCCGAAGGGTCATATTTAATGGGGTACTACATGTATTTTATAAAGCATCAGATGAGCACCTACACCATCAGCAATGAAAGGCTCGGTTCTGTAATGTTTAGTCCACTACGTTTCACGATTTTATTTCGACTACAAACGATGGCATTTGCTATTTACTCAGACTCAATTCCATGCACGATTTCCTCATTCAATTTATCCGGTATTATTAGTTGTCTGTCATTTTTTCGCTCGTTCCGACGTCATTTTCGATTTGATTTTCTGGAAGGGAAGTCACTCTGAGCACATGACAAAACTGTGCCAATGCGGTGTTGTGATACGTTATTGCTCTGACAAAATATGTCACAATAAATATTACATGTACTATCGGAAAACTGTTTCTTTCTTTCCGATTTTGAAACGATTGCAATTGTTATTCAATTCGTTTTTAAACGACAATTATTAGTGACGGTCTAATTGACGGCCGTTTTATAGATACTTTAAGACCAATGACCATGAAACATATTTGTTTGTTCAAACCTACTCGCTAATTACACAGGTGAGAATGTCCGTTGGGACGATTGTTTGTCACGGCCGTTTAATAGATACTTTAACACTAAATTTTGTACATTTGGGCCGACATTTAATGGCCGCTGGCCGCGATATAAAATCGTCGTTTAATGGAATTAACTTATATAGTAAAAATCATCGGGAGGGATTTTATGCGGCCGCTGAATAAAAAAGTCGCTCAATAAAGGTGGACGCAAGTACGATGCCGACTGTATGCTTTAATTAGAAAAGAACACTGATTATGTATGAAGTAACTGAATGTTTGTCATGCAACATTAAATTGAGTACGATTCAGACTATTAGATAAGGCGATGTACTTATTAATGCTGTTATAATTACATGTATTATTATTGTGAGTAAAAAGGTTCTGGGGATATTTCTATCATGTTTTAACGAGGGGCATAGATAATATAGATTGTTTACTTTTTAGCTCGACTATTCGAAGAATATGAGAGCTATTGTAGACGCCCCGGCGTCAGCGTCGGCGTCGGCGTCTGCGTTGGTTAAAGTTTTTTGTAAAGTCAAATATCTCAATTATTACTTGAGATATTCAATTGAAACTTACAATACTTATTTATAGTAACAAGGTACATCAGATTGACAAGTTGGATAACTCTGCCTACAATATTGACAGAATTATGCCCCTATTTAACTTAGAAATTTTGGTTAAAGTTTTTTGTAAAGTCAAATATCTCAATTATTGCTGGAGATATTTAATTGAAACTTACAATACTTATTGATACTAACAAGGTACATCAGATTGACAAGTTGGATAACTCTGCCTACAATATTGACAGAATTATGCCCCTTTGGAACTTAGAATTTTGGTTAAAGTTTTTTGTAAAGTCAAATATCTCAATTATTGCTTGAGATATTCAATTGAAATTTAAGATATTTTTTATAGTAACAATGTACATCAGTTTGCAAAATTGCATAACTCTGCCTGCAATATTT